CTGCTCTCTGCCTGTCCCACTCCTGCCAAACTCCTGGACTATGGCCCACACCTCCTGCTTCTGCTTCCTTACCAGCCCTTCCTTCCTCACCTCCTGTCATCTGGCTTTGGGCCCAGGTGCCTGGGAAAGAAACAACTTTCTGAGGTCACCCTGTGGCCTGCCAACCCAGCAGGCTTTCCACCATGTCACTTGACTTGAGCAAATTTTACCCCCTTATCTTCAGGATATTTCTTGCCATTTTCTAGACCCTCATTCCCTCAACACATTCCCCGTCTCTCATCACTGGCCCTGCTCTTATTTTTCCCTCAGGAATCAGAGCTAGTGTCTCTGCCTCCAGGAAGCCTTGCCTAACCCTAGCTCCCCTCTGCTCCCACCACACCCTGAAAATACTCATCACTCTTGTTGAACGCCTGGCTACCGGGCTGACTGGAGGTCCTGTGAGGGTGGGGGCTATGTTTACCTGCCTCTCCTATCGACTCACGTACATGCAGAGATTCCCAATTTGCCTCCTTGCAGCCAATCCCTCCTGCATATAGCTCCCAGGTGAATCACTTTAGTCATGTCACTCCCCAGTTCAAGAACCTACAATGACTCCCTGGTGCCTACTGAATCAAGCCCAAACTCTTCCTCTTGGGTATGTTCAATTACATCAAAATTAAAGATTTCTGCTGAATGAGAAGAACAAAGTTAAGAGAGCAATGACAAAATGGGAGAATATTTTTGCAAGGTCTAAAACCAACAAAGGATAGAATCTACTAGGATCTCTTGCAAATCAATATCCAAAAACGCATCAACCTCAATAGAAACATGGCTAAATGATATGAAAGGCAATTTATGTAAGAGGAAATCTTAAAGACTAATCAGCAAATGCAGAGATGCTCAAACTCTTTAGTGATCAGAAATGCAAATAAAACAACAATGAGATAATACCTTGGTCAGATTAGCAAAAACCACATAGCTGGATAATATCAATCCTATGGGCATATAGGAGGCTCCTGCACTGCCTGAGGGAGTGTGAACTGGGGCAGACATGTGGAGAGAAATATGGCTGTATTCAGTCAAATTGAGACAGAAATATTTATACCCTATGACCTAGCAAATCCACTCCTGGCTCTTAAGTATAGAACCCAAAGAAATTCTCACCTGATCCATAAGAGGACAAGGCTGAGGACGCATAATGCAGCGTCGTTTGTGGGATTGTGGGAGGGCAGTTGGGTTCCATCAGATGTCCCTTCCTAGGAGAGAGGAGAGGCCAGAGTGGGGAGGGGATGCCCACGGAGCACTGCGCAGCAGTTAAAGCTACTCAATGTCCACAGAGCAACGTGGCTGGGCCTTGAAACCCTAGTGCAGGGTGAAATGAGTCCCGACAGAGCAAGGCCTAGAACACAATGCTGACAACATATAGAAACACACACATACACACACACACACACACACACACACGCACACACACAAACCAACTGCAAAGGGACATTTCGAGAAATTTTATTATGGATTGGATATTAGGTATTATTGCTAATTTTTTTGGGTGTGATGATGACAGTGCAGGTAGGTAAGAAAATGTTCAGTGTTGTGGGGGATGAGCAGCTGGAAAATATAGGGGTGAAACGGCATGATGCCCAGGATTTACTCTATTTAGTGCCGCAAAGGGAAAAAGGAGAAAGATGAAACAAATGTATTTTAGGCAAAGACTTAAGCAAGATTTCAAGGCAAAATCTTGATAATTTTTGAGTCTTGGAGATGAGTATATGGGGGTTTGTTGTACTATGCTCTCTACTTTTATGTATACATTAAAAATTTCATAATAAAATTTAAAACAGTATCAATGATACATATTTTTAAGAACATGTTCACACAAAAGATACACATTAAACCTGTTAGAGTGGTTGCCTATAGAGGGGGAAGAAAATAGGAGCAGGATTGGGATCAAAAGAGAAGGAAGGGAGGGAGAGAGGGAGGAAGGAAGAAAAAAAGAATGATCAGTGATAATCTGCCCCGAACTGAGGAGGATGATTAACTTAACCCTCTGCACCTCCAGTCCAAGAGAAGGACTACAAGAATTGATCTCCCTTGAACTCTAGCTCCTGGGCATTTTAATTTTTTCTGTCTAAGCCTCTAACCTTCTTGCCTGTGTGTGGTATCTTTTCTGTGTGACTGTCCCCATGACAGTTGCATCGCTTGGAGCCTTGCTGAAGCAGCAGGAATGAACTTTTGCTGACTAAATGCCAGCCCTGGGCTAGGACCTGTAGGTGTGTGAGCTCAACTCATGCTCTCAGTAACACTGTGAGGCAACTTTCATTATCTCCATTTTACAGAGGCGGAAACCTGAGCTCAGGGATGAGGCCTTTTGTCCAACTCCTACTAAATCAGGAAGCTGGAATTCCAAACACCTTGGCCTCAGACACCCAGGATCATGCGATGGCACCAAGCTGATCTAACAGCCTCTTCATCATTATAATTATTTTTAAGGTCTGCTTAGTGGTCCGTTACATTGATGTAGGGTAATTTACTGTAATATACTAACCGCTCTCCTGTTTCTGAATATTTGGGCTCTCTCTAGTTTTCCACTTTCATAGACAGTCCTGGAAAGACTATCTTCAGGTCTCGAGACTTCTGATTCTGTTGAATTATTCCCTTGCCAGGAGTGGGGTGACTTGGTGTTCACAAGAAAGTGCGGACCTCATTATGGCAGTTAATTCACATTGAGGTAGTTTTCAAGAGAGGAAATGCAGGGGTGGGGGGTGGCGGGGCATCTCTGAGGGGGCAGGAAATGCAGGGGGAGTGAGGCCTCAGGCCAGGCAGGAAGTTGGATTCCAACTGATTTTTGTGACCTTCACGTTTCCCTAATGCTTTCAGGCTCAAGGTGGGGAACAGGGTTCTGGCAAGCCTTGGGGAATGGGGGACTTGAAGCTGCTGTGTGGGAGATGGGTGGCTGGGACCGGCTGGGACCCCTCTCCCTGGGGACACAGTGGCTCTCTGGCTCTTTGGTGGCTGCCCTGGCCAGCCTGAGAGGGGTCAGCTGGGGATAGGCAGCAAGTAAATATAGATCCAGGGAAGGAAGCCAGGCAGCCCAGCCGTGCGCTGATCTCTTGCTGGAAGGCTGGGGAGGGATTATGTCTTGGCACCTTGTTCTCCGGAGGTGGGTGATACCTGGCCCAGCAGCCCCCTAGAAATTGCTGGGAGCGGCTGGGGGTGGGAGGCAGAGCCTCCAAGGGGTCAGAGTGGGGGCTAGTGGAAAGCTGGTCAACAGATGCTGTTCTTGTGCCACCGACAGAAAGCGGCACGCCCTCTCTGGAAATCCCTCTCAGAGGACTGCCCAGCTTGGCGAGTCCAGGATAAGGGGCTGACTGGTCCAAAGGAATGTGGGGTCCACAGTACAAAGAGCTGGGGGCAACGCCCCCTTACAGCCCCTCTCCCCACCCCCATATAGGTCACCCTTATTCTGGAGAGGAAGATGTCTGGAGTGTAAATTTGTCTTCCCTTGCTCTCCCACCCCCTCACTGGGTGCTGGCCCTTTCCACCCTAGGGCTCAGGGCCACCAGCCCTGACCCTCCCCCAGCTCCAGTGCCACCCAAGACTGGCTTTCCTTGCCCCCAGTGCTGCAGCCCTGCACCAGCTCCACACCCTGCATACCATGTCCGCTCAGTCCAGCCAAGACCTGGTGGAGCCCCCACTCTGGGAGGGAATTCCAGCAAGACTGTCATTCCACCACAGACCCATTTATTGGCAAAACGTGTTCCCAAGCATCGAGGAGAGGGTGCTAGCAGAGCGGGCAGCAGTGTTCAAGGAGCGGAGGGAGGGAGGAGGCGGGGACATCCCAATTAGAATAACAATCCCAGCAGCTAGCGTTTATTGAGCTCTTCCTCCGTTTATTGAGCTCTTTGTGAGGTCAGGTTCTGTGCTAAGCAAGCGCTTTACAAGCTCTGTCTCATTTAATCCTTATAACAATCCTACAAGGTAGGTACCATTATCGGCCCCATTTTACAGATGAGGAAACTGAGGCATAGACCTGTGAAGTGGTGGGAGGCAGCTGTCAGCCTCCAGGGATGCACCCCGAGAGCCTTCCCTCAGGTGCCACAGCCTCCTTTCTTTTCTGTCACACCCTGATTCTCAGTTTCAACCCTCTCTCACCACTGCCAGTTCTTTCAACTCTTTTTATATTTTTGTTTTCTAAAAAAATAGATTTTACCCGTATCCTGCAAAGTCCACTGTCTCCTACCCTCATTGGTCAAATTCTGGATTCTCCCCCAAATATTGTTTGGGTTGGGTTGGGGGCAGTGGGTCTCTAATGGGGGACCTGGGTGCGTGTGTGAAGCCAAAGTACAATGAAATCTCTGAGAAAATACACAATCAATAAATTACAACCTCCCTCTCCTCCCCTTCCCCATCTTCTCCCTACTCTCCCACCCGCCCCCCAACCCCTATCCAAATCTAGAACAGACTGAGTGTTGGCCCCCATCCCCCACCACAGGGCAGGGTCTTATGTCAGTTACCTCTGTCATCCACAGGGTCCAGGGCCCTCAGTAAATGTTTGTGGAATGAATGAATGAGTGAATGAATGAGTGAATGAACGAAAGCATGGGGGGAGGAAGCAAGCACTTAGGAGCCCTGAGTCCAGCCCCGACCGCATGCTCACCTGCATCTTGCCCTCACCAGGACACTTCCCTCCGCCCCAGAGAAGAGGGTCCCGGGTTGGGGGTGGGAGCAGAGATGGGCAGGGAGGAGTCAGCAGGGGCATCACCGGGAAGGCCGGTGACTGAAGTAGAGTGCAGAGCTCTGGCCTCAGAGACAGGAGAGCTGGTTCAGATCCCAGCTGTATGGCTCAGGAGCTGTGTGACCTTGCGCAGGCTTGAAGAATGATGACTACTGTATAATAGTCCTTGCAGAGTTTACAAAGCCCTTTTTTTCACATTTATCTTTGGTCCTCAGTAACCATCCCGTAATGTGGGTATTGTTATCAATATACCCATTTTACAGAAGAGGAAGCAGAGGCTGGAGAGGTCAAGGGCCTTGCCCAAGGTCACACCGCAAGCAGGAGCTTGAACCACCTCCCCCAACTCCTGCTCTTGCTACTGCCCCTGTCTGTGCCACAGGAGGGAGGGCTCAGATCTGAGTCTTTCAGCACAGTATCCCTATATGGCAGCGTGCAGCAGGAGAGACTGCACAGCAAATCCCCTAATATGGGCTCCACTGGCCATTTCCAGCCAGAAAAGCTGGTCTACCCTGAATGGAAAGTGTTCTAGACAGCCCCTCCTTCCCCTGCCCACAGCCCCAGGGCCTCAGGTGCTGCCCCAGTAGGGACCTGGAGGGCATGAGGCACCCGGTGAACTTCTGCTTTTCCTGGGAGAGTGGGGAAGTGGAACGGTGGAGGAGGCTCTGAGGCCCTCCCCTTACACAGGCATGTGCACCTCGTCGTATTCATCCTGACCTTCGTCCTCGTCAAAGGTCGGCTTGACATCGTTAGCATCCAGCTGGAAGGTGGGGTAGGAAGGCAGAGGGTGAGAGGCCGAGGGACCGGAGGACCCTCCCCCCAGCACTGAGAGGCACCTTTGGTGTTAGGAGACAGCCTGGCTCTCTTTGAACCTCGGACAAGTCCTGTCCTGTCCCTGCAGCCCCGAGGGTTCGTCTAGATTTGTTGTTTCCAAACGGTGGGGAGCCACTGGGGATCTGGTCCCCCAGTTGGGGAGGGCTTCCAGAGGGTGGGCAGGGGACCCCTTCCCCAGAGCAGCCCCACAGTGACCTGTGTCACGTCACTGTGGAAGAGTTCTATCAGAGGAGTGACTCTGTCCAGAGTGATTTGGAAGACCACAGGACTAGCTGCTCGATGGTAGGGACAGCGCACGTGGAACACACCCTGTGTGCCTCTTAACCCTCTCGCCAACCCTGGCACCATTCCTCCCTTTACAGGTGAGGAGACCCGAGGCTCAGAGAAATGAGGCCACTTGCTCCAGGTCACACACTAGGACATGGCAGTGCCAGGATTTGGACACAGGCCCCAGACCCAGATTTTAACCACGATGCTCTTCTGCCTTCTTTAGTTCCGAGACCCCCCCCTCACATTCTCCCAGCCCCTCTGATGACCACTCTCTGCCCCCAGCTTTGTTGTCCTGCCCTCCAGCCTCTGCTCTCTCTGTACCCTCGCTCCTGCCCCAGGCCTGTGAGGGGAGAATGGGGAGCAGCCACTCACACACTGGAGCTCCAGCTTCTTGAAGATGCGTGGCAGCAGGAAGTAGCGCAAGGGCACTGTGAGGATGAGGACGAAGGGCAGAGCCAGCGAGGCGCTCGGGAAGCTCTTCACCACCCACAGCACCACCATGCAGATGATCTGGGTGGCCGTGAACAAGTGCATGCGCCAAGTCTTTACCTGCAGGCGGAGGCAGGGGTCATGGCCTGCCCTGATCTGGCACCCAGCACCCCCAACCCCACCCGGTCTGGGCAGCCAGGAAGGCCCTGTACCCGCTTGACGTAGGGCACATCAGGGTGGTACTTGGGCGGCTTGAACAGAAGCAAGATGCGGTCAAAGAACTGGATGCCGCTGAGGGATGTGACCCCCATGTAGAGGAAGATGCCAAACAGCACAGCCAGGGGGATGCGACGCAGGACAGGCACCATGAGGATGGACAGGCCTGCGGGGAGAACCACGCATGCTGAGCCGCAGGTGCCCAGAGGACCAGCACCAGGGGCTGGGGAATGAAGCCCCAGGTACCGTATGGGGCCCTTTCTGTGGCTCCTCTCAATAGGTATTACCCCCATTCTACAGACTCAGAGAAGTGAAGCAACTTGCCTAAGGCCAGACAGCTAGTAAGTGGCAGGGCAGGGAGTCGAACTCCTGCCTGCCTGACTTCAAAGCCTACTCCTTTAACATGGCGGGTGAGGCGGTCACAGAGGTCGGAGAAACCCACCCTTTCTCTCACTCCAGTCCAGAATGCCTCCATCACCCTCTGGCTATCCAAATCCTAACCCTCCTCCAACTAACATCAACTTTGCCTCCTTTAAGAAACTTTCCTGGCCTCTACATCTGCAACCATGGTGCCGCCCACACCAAGCCCAGCTGGACTCAGCTGCTGCAGAACTCGGATCAACCCCAGGGACCCTCTGTCTTCTCCTCCCCCACCCCCAGATTATGTCTGGCACACTGGCCTTTGTATCAGTCATAGAGCAGCTGAGCTAGAGGGACCTCTACGGTGCAGACAGGGAAACTGAGGCCCAGAGACAAGGAGGGATACCGAGTTAGCAGCAGGGCAGGGCTGGGACCCACAGTTCACTGAACCTCTGTTGGATCCTATCTAGAGAAGCCCTAGTAATGGAGGTCCCCCCCTTCCTCCCCTGCTCAGATGCCCATCTCAGTGCCTTGGCATTTCCTCCAGAATTCCCTCCTGTGAATAACTGACGCTGGGGAGAGGTGGGCAGCGGGTGTGTAGGGAGACCTGGCTGCAGAGTGGGCAGGGCTGGAGGGGCACTGGCTTCTAAGGGGTGGGAACAGAGGGTGGTGGAGAGTGTGCCCAGCCCTCACTCACCCACAAGTGCAGCGACCAGCAGGCCGCTGATCCGCTGCTCCTTGACCTGGATCTGGTCTGCAGCCCCTGGGGTGCTGGCCTTGACCACAGAGGTGAGGGCATTGGCGTGGGTGACAGTACGCACTGTGGTAGCACTGAGCCATGGCATCCCAAAGAGTGGGGCCAACCCGCCCATGCCCATGATCAGCAGCAGGTCCAGGTGGAAGCCGGAGCCCTTGACCGTCTTGCGCTCTGGTTTGCTGATAATCAGCCTGGGGGTGTGGGAGGTCAGGGGTCAGCAGGGCTCTCCCTCTCCCCCTCCCCCTTGCCCCTCCTTCCTTTCCCATACTTGGGTCCCTCTGTACCTCAGTTTATCCTTCTTTGCCCATCTCCCTGGTGTTCCCTCCCTTTCTCCCCTCCCTCCCACCCCATCTTGAGAATCTGGACTCTAAGAGCAGAAGTGTCTTCAGACACTACCTAGAACATCCACAGGCAGATTTACTCTGAAGCTAACGAAGCATAAGCTTTAGGGAGCCTCATTGGTCCTGGCCCCTTCCAAGATCCAGCACCTAATTTTGTAGTTCTCATTTTGTATACTTTTTCTTTAAAAGGGCTCCCCAAATTATACAATGTCAGGTCCCACAAAACCTGAACCTGACCCTGCCCGTCCATCATTCCTGCTAGTCAGGAAGACCATACGTTCAGCCATTCGGCCGAGACTAGCGCTCGGCCCTTGGCGTCCCCGCTTGCCTGGAGCCTGTCCCTTTCCCGGCCTCTGACCCTCCCAGCCCTGCCCCACCCTGGCTCTTACGTGGTAATCTGGGATTCAAGGAAAATGAGAATGAAGACCAGCAGGGCAGGCAGGACGGAGGCAAACATCATCCAGATGGGGAAAGGGGAATGCAAGCCCAGCGGGTGTATGAGCCAGCCCCGGAATGTGGGCTTGGACACGGTGAGGCCTTCAGGCACATTGAGTTTCTGTGGGAGGGGGATTCTGGTGAGAACACTCAGGGCAGGGGGCTGGGGAGAGGTGAGGACAGGGAGCCAGCGTCCTGGGCACTTGGAACTTACTTTTATTGAGCACCTACTTTGTACCCAGTCACTGCACTAAGCCCTTTACATACATCTTCTCATTCCCAACTTTATAGATGAAGGAACAGAATCAGAGAGGTTATGTAGCTTGCCCTGCATCACATAGCCGTTTGGTGGCAGAACTGAGATTCATACTCAGATCTGCCTGGATCCAAAGCAGATTCTTTCCTCCTACCCTCAGTTAAGGAGTAAAGGGGGCAACCTGACCCAGGCCCTTGGTTCAGCCAGAGGGGTCCTGTAGGGCTGCGGGAAGAACACAGGGCTCCCAGGGTAGGCAGGGGTCGGGTAGGGGTAGTTCTGGCTGGCTTCAGGTTTGGGAAAGCTGTTCTGGGGAGGGGGCAGGCTGGGGGAATGAAATGAGAGTGAGGGGAGAGGGTCACCTGGGTGTAGGTATCCTGGATGAGGAAATCCACCATGACCATGATCAGAGCAGAGATGGGAACTCCAAAGTCCCCGATGAGCCGCCGCAGCTGAGGGCAGGTGCAGGTACCAGAGGTCAGTGCCCAGTTGCTCCCCACCTCCTGCCTCCCACTTGCCCCTACTCCTGCCCATCTTCACCCAGGAGGCCCTGCTCTTCCCAGGAAATCCATCAGCTTCTAATGCCTTATCCTGCACCTCAGTGAACCTGCCTCCTTTCTTCTTCCCTTGGCCCAGCCCCACCCTTGGGCCCATAGCTTCTGTACCCCCTTCTAAGAATTGTCCCTGGCTCTCCACTGGGTTTTCAGCCTGGGCATGCTGAGAAAGGGAGATGGGTTTGCCTGAAGAATGAAATCTGGGGTCAGGAGGGAGCCAGGGAGGCTTATAATTGGGAATGGGAATCTAGGGTAAGAAGAGGAGCTAATGGCATTGGGGAAGCTGGGGGAGGTGCTTTGGACTGGGGTAGGGTAGTGTAGGCAAGGGTAGGTGGGGAGGAAGTGCTGACCTTGCCAGGGAAGTAGGAGCTGTTCTTGAACCTGCGCAACACCATGGCGAGGAAGAAGGTGCCGGCCATGAGTACAAGGGAGAGGAGGGCTGTGTTAGGCAGGGGGTCCTGAGGTTCAGGGTCTATCACCACATTCTGGGTATAATTCTTCCTTAGTGGATGTTTCTGGAAGATCTGCAGGAGAAAACCAAGGCATCCTATTCCCTCCCATCCATCCATCCACCCATTCATCCATTCATCCATTCATCCATCCATCTATCCATCCATCATCCATCAACCCCTCCACCCATCATCTATCCATTTGTCTATCCATTATCTATCTATCTATCTATCTATCTATCTATCTATCTATCTATCTATCTACCTACCTATCTCTCATCTACCTATCTATCCATCCATCTGTCCATCCACCCACCCACCTATCTTCTTCCTCAACTGACGGTAACAGAGTACAATAGGATTTTACAGCTTGGTTTTCAGGAGTTAGGACCAGGCTAGGCTTGGGTGGGGCGGGCCAAGGGGGAATGAGTATATGTGTGTGTGTGCTTGTGAGCACCCAGGGCCTGGGAGACATGAGAAGGCTAGAGGGCAGGAAACATACCAAGGAGGTTCCTAAAAAGGGCTTCAAAGACTTGGAAACAGAAAGATCCACCAACCAACAGAATCAGGGACAGGCATACAATGTCCACCTTTCCTCCATATAAAATGCAGATACAGAGGCAGGCATAGTTTGAGGTGACAGAGCTGAGGAGGCGGGGCACTCCATTCGCAGGCCCTGCAGTTCTAAAAGGGCAAGTGCAGGAGAGAGAGTGGGAGACTTCAGAGCCTCCAGAACCCCTGCTGCCCCTGCCATGCATGCAGTTTCCCAGGTGCAGTCTCACACACATACTTGCCCCTTAGTCACTCCGTGTGGTCATAAACACGGACATGTGCACACAGGGGCATCCTCTCATGCACAGTCACTCTGCACAGACATAGCAAGAATGCCGGCCCACAGGCAGTAAGCATCACCATGTATGTGGGCACAGTTACATACCACGAGAACATGGCCACACAAATGCCATACAAAGTGTGAAACGACACACCGTCACACAGTTTATACACAGTCTCCCAAATGCACACACACATGCTCGTTCACACTCCCATGGACCCCTACCTTGACCAGATTGCTGAAGGTCTCAAAGATGAAGATGAGGGAGATGAGGAAGGCGAAGATGTCCTGGGTGTAGCGGGAGATGTAGCGGACCAGGAAGCTGCCCTCAAAGGCCACCATGAGCACCACCAGCAGGATGAGCCAGAAACCGATCCACACACGGCCCACGATGTACTCCATGTCATTACTCTCACAGAACTGCAGGGCGGTCAGAGGGAGTCGAGGTAAGACAAATGGGCCCAGGCACCATGCACCAGCCAGGTGGAGCGGGGGCCAGTTACGGGGTCACAGTGGGGCCGGAACAGAGCTACCGAGAAGAAGGCTTCCTCAAACACAAGTAGGGGTCCTGAGAAGCCAAGCACAAGCAGGGGCTGAGCTCCCAGCAGGGCGAAGAGGACACCCTGCACTGCAGTGGACAGGAGCAGCTCCGACACCCCCATCTGGTCCTGGGTCTTCTCTCCTGCGGGTAGGGGTACAGTGAGGTCAGGGTCAGGAGATCATTTCTTAATTAGGGGCCAATAGAGCATTTCGTGGGCAGGCTGATGTATGGTCCAGAGTGTTAGATCAGGTCAGAAGGCAGGGCAGATGCAGAAGCCAGAGGGTCAAAGGTCAGGGTTAGGGGACATGTAGAGGCACTGACCCAGGAGGCCACCAAAGGTGATGGCAGGTGTCAGGGCGGCAAAGTAGATGAAGATGACGACAGCCAGGACTTGGAGGCTGAATGCATCTGTGATGTCACTCAAGTAGTGGGGGTAGCGGCGCCGGATGTCACGCACCAGGCCCCCGAAAAGCCGGCCTGTCCGCTGCAGAGGGTCCTCCGGGCCACTAGGGACCCCTGAATCCCCATCCAAATCTGTAGGTAAGGACAGGACCATGGTCACAGGGGGTAGCAGGGAGAGGTGTGGGGAGAGGGGAATTGGGGGTATCATCTGATGGGAATGGGGTGGCCAAGAAGGTGGGGAGGCGTGAGGAAAGGGAGAGGGACACTGGGGTATTTGATGGGAAAAGGGATGGCAGGGCTCACAAGGCCGTGCTGGGGTGTCCAAGGGTCTGTGGGGGCTCAGAAAGCCTTGGGCTGGGCAGGGCAGGTACCTAGGCCCTTGTAGAATCTGGGGTCCGGCTCAGCAGGGCTGGTCAGGTAGCGTCTCCGCAGCAGCTCCTTCTGCACGGGCACCAGACTGAGCAGGGCCTGCTCGGAGGGGGCGTCTGAGGGAGGCAGCACCAGGCTGCAGTCCAGGAAGCCCTCCAGGGAGCGCACCAGCTCCTCCTTCCTCTGCGCCAGGTATGCATCAGTGCGGAACACCTGGGGCCAGAGAGAGGGTCAGGACCTGTGGGATGAAAGGACCCAGGAGTCCACAGCCAGGGCCTCCAGGGACCAGAATCCTCTCCCCCAGCTCCTTCTTGCTAAGAACTGCTTTTCCTGCCCCCTTCCCTTCTGCCCCCCACTACAAAAGGGCTTTGAGGGGGCCCACAGGGCCCTGAATGGGGAAGGGAGAAAGAATAAAGCAAACCAGGTGGATTATAGCAGATCAGGAGGAATAGAGCACATGAGGCCAGACGAGGCCAGACCTCACCAGGGAGAACCAGGTCAGAGTGGGCCAGACCAGACCAGGCCAGATCAGGCAGGGCCAGGCCAGACTCCCCCTGGCCAGACAGGATAGAAGCTGCTAGGTTAAACTGAACAGGCCAACTAGCGGAGCTCAAGTAACCCAGGCCAGGAGAAGGGCCTCGGCTTCTACCTGGTCCCCAGCCTCCCCCAGCCCTTGCCGGCCCCTCCTCACCCTCTCCAGCATGAGGGTGGCAGCAGCCCGACCAAGCTGAGTGTAGTCGGTGTGGGGGGCCTCGGGTCCCAGCAACACAAGGAGGAAGCGCACAGGCACGGGTGGCTCCACAGTGGCCTCCAGCTCCACGGCCTCCTGTAGGCGCACAAAGCCCAGCACCGGCTTCTTCAGGAAGGCGGCACGGCCTGTTGGGGAAGGGGGTGATGCAAGGTGGTCAGGCCAGGCTGAGGGAGGCTGCCGGGTCCAAGCTTAGGTAGAAGCAGGCTGGGCCAAGACAGGAGGCGGAAGCAGTGGGTGTGGAAGGGTGAGAGATGCAGGCACCAGCCGCTTACCCACTAGCACCAAGGCGACCTCCGAATCTGGGGGAATCTTTTCCAGAATTCCTGATGGTGAGTGCCCTTCTGTGCCCCCCTCTCCCTGTTGGAAGGAGGGTGGTGAGGGGAGTCCTCCGACCACTCTGGACCCAGGAGACTTGAGCATCCAGCCCCCTCTCTCCTACCAAATCTCATTTCTCACTGCATTCAGGTTGCGGGCTTTCCGGCTCTCCCCACACAGCCCTGGTACAGCCTCACCTGTGCACAATAGAGCTGTGTCTCCAGAGAGGGGTGTTCGAGGAGCAGAGGCTGTGAAGCATCCCCAGAATGTGTCACGACCGTGGGCTTCACACCCTCTAGGGCTTCTAGGTCTCGGGCATGGCTGCAGGACACACAGGGGACACCGGCTGAGTGGGCTGTTCAGGCTGGGCTATCAGCAGAGTGGGGACTGGTGGTGGGAGGGATCAAGCGGGACTTTCCAGTGACCAGACTACAGAGACCCTGGGGCGGAGAGAGAATCAGCCTCCCCTGAAGGATGCTGTGGAAGTCAGCGGGTGGCCTCTGCCTGGAGTGACGAGGTGGAGCCAGAAGAATGGATGGAGGGAAGGGCCTTGAGAGTCTGCCTTCCTGGTGACTGGTGGCCCCCAAATCTGAGCATGGAGACGTGGCCACTCCTTGAAAGGTATCACAGGCAGGAGCCATCATGGAAGAAAAGTGGACCCCGGCCTGGTTGGGGAAGGGCCCCCTGGATTCTCAGGGAGAGCTTGGGGCAGGTGGGCTGGGGATGTGGGCCCTTTGGGTGTGGAGTCTGGGTCCTGGCAGGCAGGGGCACCTGTGTTTGAGCAGCAGGATCCGGAACAGCTGGTCTCGGTCATTAGGCTGGATCTGCTCCTCATAGATAAACCTGTCCAGCAACTGGTTGGCCACCCCGGCCAGGGAGGTCTCTCGCAGGTCCAGGAGGACAGTACCTGCAGGCAGCGGAGGGGTGAGCTGGGTGGCTGGACTGGGACCCTCCTCCCCAGCAAGCCTCACAGGCAGGGTTGCAGAGGGGCCCAGCGGGGCTCACCATTGGCAAAGGCTCTCTGCAGCTCCAGGAGGCTCCAGAAGTTGAGGTAAGACAGGTGCGGGCGGCCCCAGGCCCCATCCTCCCCCAGGTTCTCCTCCAGACGCACCCAGCGTGCTGTCTCCATCCATTGAAGCTCCTGGTTCTTCCTGTCCATCACCAGTTCCTGCAGCTCCACATAGACCTGTGGCCCCACAGGCCTGAGTTAGTCCATCAGGCCCAGAGCAGGGCCATGCGGAGACTGGGAGCCCAGGGCACGGTGGGCACACAGTGGGCACACAGCGGGCTCTGAGACATGTTTGTAGGAGGCCCAGGGTCCTGGAGCGCTCAGGGGCAGACCGTGAGCTCAGAGGGGACCTTCGGGAGCCGCAGCCTGGGAGTGTTGAGTGAAGTGGGAAGTGTGGGGAGATGCTCGAGAGTCCCATCTGTATGGCCTGCATCTCTGGCTCTATTCCTCAACTTCCCGACCAGGCCCCTCACCCCATTTCAGAGGCATTTGGAGAACCGCCGGACCAAAAGGGGTGCTAGAGTGGCCCCATGGGAGGTAAAGGAGTGGGAAGCCTTTGGGGTCATTGGCTCAGGCTCCTGCCTCCGAGATTGTTGAGTGGGCATGTGGCTCAGCGTGCCCTTGGGTTTCCTTGGGGCCAGGTGGCTACTGCCTGGGGCCTAGCTGACAGCAGACCCAATTTCCTAACCAGCTAGACAGTTGGGCGCCCAGCAGGGACATGTAGGCCTGGCGGGCCTGGGCAGAGGGGATGGTGTATTTAATTCTGTGCTTCCCCAGGGAGCACCTGACAGCCCAGCCAGGGCCAGAGGGCCTGGGGGCTCAGACCTCCAGCATGCAGTTTATCTTCGCCCAAGGAGCTCCCCCTGAGGGATGCGGTCCTCTTCCCTTCTACCTGTTTCCCAGGGTGCCCACTCCTTCTTTGCCTGTTTCCGGGGTCCCCCACCCCGAAACTCTGCCTCTCCCTCTGCTCCTCCCTTCCCCTGATAGAATGGTGGGTCCCAAGGGCAGCACAGGACAGAGAACTCGGGGAGGCTGGGGGTCCTTACCTCGTGGGTGCCTGGGTGTGATGTGGTCTGGTAGTCTGCAGCTGTCTGCTGCTCGGTGACGTAAGCTGAAACCCCAGAAGCCGGTTAGTGTTGCCCCCAGACAATCCCTTCCAAGGCCCTCCTGCACCACCCACCATGAGCCTCAGAGACCAGCCCCGGCTGATCCCCACTCTCTCCCATTGCACCTGGCTGGGACCCTGGTGCTGCCCCTCCACCCCTGCTGCTCGACGGGCTGTGGCTCCCCACGCCTGTTCTTGGCCCAGCCTGGCTCTGTCACTCCCCATCTGAGCATTGTGAAGGACCCTCGGGATTCCTCCTCAGGGATGACTGGGAGGGTCATCTCCAAGGTCATTAGAGAGTCCTGAATGGCAATTCTCAGGATTCTTCTAGGGTCTCCTCCATCTCCTGCCACCTTCTGGAACCGAGTCCTTCCTTCTTCCCACCTGCCTCAACAACCCCACCAGCCCAGTAGCTTCTCGAAGCCTCCAAGTGGAGCTCTGGGCACCAGGGTGGGGTCTGCCCTTATATTGCCCCCCCAGCCCTCATTGCCCAGAGGGGCCTCTTATCTTCAATACCAATTGCCAGCACTTAAGTCCTGTTGACAGTAAACACGTCTCCACCTGGGGCTCCCCAACTAAGACCTTGGGCAGGCCCACGAAGGTTTCCTGATGTCTCTCTGCCCTGGGGGGATCCCCATTGTCCCCCATTGCTCAGGACCTCTGGACCCCCAAACAGAACGATTCCCAGCAGGCCCAGTACCTGGCCTAGAAGCCAGCATTGGATGGGCACAGGTGACATGTGGCTTATGTCCTTGTCCCAGACAGGCCTGGCTGCCCTCTCACAAATCTAAGGGGCATGGTGACGGGCGACTGGCCCTGCCCCCATGCCCCAGTCACCTCCTGTGATCATTTCAAACAAAACTCTGTTTATCCTTCAATCAGCCAGGATTGTGGGAGAACTGGCCCTGGGGCTGGAGCAGGCGGATTGTGGGGAAGAGAGAGGACAGATTCCCCCACTGTCCCTGTCTGGGGCTCAGCCGCTCATCCCAGCAGAGAGAGGGAGATGGGGCTCACCTGCCGGCTCCTCCAGTGTGGGTGTGGAGATACCCTGGTCTTCATAATCCTTCTGTAAAACCTCCAGCCCCTCTTCATGATTCTCCTGTGGGAAGCGGCCGTCAGGGCTGGGCTGTGAGGGGATCCTCAAGCCCCCATGGAGATAGGAGTCCAGGGCCTGGTTCCCAGAGCCCCAGGTAGGAGCACCACAGACTCACCTGGGAATCCCCCATGGTGCCGTCCTGATTGTCCATTTGTCCTTGCTGATCCGAGCCCCCAGCATAACCCGCACTGCGAGTCCCTGCAGGGTAGGGGCACGGGCTGAGGAGGCACAGGCTATCCTGGGGTCTCCTGGTCCTCCCTCAGGGGGCTGCTTTTGAGTGAAGGGGGATCCCAGGTGTTGGGAGATGGTGGGGTCAGAGGAAGAGAGTATGGGGTGCTTGGGGGAAGGAGCTGGATTTTAGGTGTGAGGACAGGTGTGCAGGGGCCAGGAGAGATGCGGCAGTGCAGAGAAGAGGAAGCTGGGTTGGCATCAGTCTAAGGGTGTTTGGGAGGATGGGGGATGTCCTTCAAATCTGACTCCTTCCTCCATCCACCAGTCCTCGCGTGGCTTCTTTTCCTGCCCTTCCCCAGGACTCAGTCAACTCCAGGGGCATGGTCTGTCCCCTCTTCATGGAGCTTAGCTCCCCTGAGAGTCTCCACAATATACCCTCTTCTCTCAGAAATGGCTGCTTCCTGCTGGGCATGGGGCTGCTGCATCCTTGGGAGTGGCTCACAGGTCCTGGATGCTGTGGCCCTGCTTCTCTCCCCTGCCCCATTTTGAACCCCATCCCCTGCTCTCTCCCCACTTATTCCATTGGCCTCCTTACCAAGCCTTTTCCTGGGGCTCCCCAGGGCCTTTGCACATACAGCTGTCCACATCCTGGACACCCCTCCCCCCACACCTCACCCTTCTCACAGCTCAGCTCATTTGTCACGGCTTCAAATTCCTTCCCTGACCAACCTAACGTTCACTAACCCAATCTGTCATTTTCTGGTTTCTTGATTCATTTGTGTGTGTATTGTCTGATGATACCTCTAGAAGGAAGCCACATGAGTGCTAAGACCATGCATGTCTCGATCCCCACTGAACCCCCACTCCTAGTAGAACGGTTGCCACATAGGAGGTGTTCAGTAAACGTGTGTTGACTGAATGTAAGAATGGCCCCCCTGGCACGCCTGGGACTCTGGGACTGGGGAGTCAGGATGACAAGGACCCAGCCAGGAGACTACTGGGCCCTGCTCCTCAGTTTTCTTGGTTGTTCTCTAGCAGAGAGGAAGGTGTGCCCAACCCAGGAAGGTGAGTGCAGGGGTCCCCTTGGGTGGCCCCAGACTGGGTGTAGAGGGCCTTCTCTTCTTCCTTCCACCCCCTGCAGCACAGGGCATGGTGGTGGCGGGGATTTGGGTCAGGTTGATAAATCTGCCCACTCTGTGTCCACATGGTGCTGAGCAGTGGGGTGCTGAGATGAATGGGACACCGTCTCTACTCCCAAGAAGCTGCCAGCCCTGCCTGGGGAGCCGAGCCGGGAACATGGGACGGGCTGAGGGTTCAGGAGATAACGTGTCCCCCAGACAAGCACAGGCGATGAGCGGAATGTACTGGGTGCTGGATGGCAGGAGGAAGAGGCCGAGTTGGTGGGCTTGAGGGGTGGAGTATCTCTGGAAGACGGGACACTGGCACTGGGCCTAGAAACACAGTGGGATCTGAAGGGCTGGGAGGTGGGAAAGGACGGCCCAGGTATGAGGAATGGCAGGCAAAGGTGCAGAGGTAGGACCCTGCAAGACAGGGCTGGGCGTTGTGTGAGGGAATAGAGTGGGGAGTGCATACAGAAAGAACTTTCTTTCTGAGGAATGGATGGTCCTGCAGTCCCTAGGGATGGGGGAAGGGCATGACTCAGTCCCACCAAACAGAAAGGCAGGGGTCCCTGCCTCGGGCTGGTGGTGGGGCAAGAGATGGCCATGGGAGGGTCCCAGAGCCTGCAGGGGACTTGCCCCTTGAGGACTCTGGTCATGCACCATTTTTCTCTCCCTCTCTGTCCTTCCCTGTCCCCTTCTCCCTAGGTTCCCCTGCCTTCCCCTTCTCCCATCTTGATTCTCTCTCTTCCTTCTCTGGCCTATCCCCACCTGGGCCTCAGATCCCTAGCAGCCTCAAAGCTCTGGAGTCTGAGATGCTGGACGTCCCACCCACGGGCTGGGACAGCCGCCTTAGTTCCCATCTGGGAGGTGGGATGGCCCAAGCATCCAGAGATCCAGGCTTCCTCTCTGTCACTGACTGGCCAAACGGCCTTGGGCAGTTCCCAGCCTCTCTCTAGGCCTCGGTCACCCCGTCTGTACAAAGGTAGGGCTTTCCCACCGGGGTTCTGAGACTTCAGTGAGAGATAAGAGGGGAGAACGGAGGCGCCTTGAGCTCAGCTGGGGCCTTAGAGGATGCACCCATGACCCAGATTACTGCCCCCACAGGCCCAATCCCCCCAGCTGCAGGCCTTGCTCTGCCTGGCTCTGATAAGAGCCGGGTCTCTGATGGCTGCCCTGCATCTCAAAGCACACCAAACACCTGGCCAGCCAGCCAGCCAGGGCAGGGCCAGATAAGGGTGAGTGGGGCCTCTGGAGCCCAGGAGGTGGGGCACAGCTGGAAGAGTCTGGGGGGTGATCAGAGGATGGGGAGGGCTCTCTGGTGGCAGAGTACCACCTGTGTGTAATCACACCCACAGTGCACAAAATTGTACTGCCTTCTCTCTTATAATCCCAAGCCACTCTGTGAAGCGGGCATTGTCGTTAGCCCTGTTTTACAGATGAGAAAGCTGAAGTTCGGAGAGGTTTACCTGCTTCGGTCCCCTTATAGGTAGGTATCAGAGGCAGGATTAAACTCTGGCCTACCTGACTTCAGCTACATCTCTAACCATTACACTGAGTGGCATCCCAGAAGTCAAAACAGCTTTGAGCAGGTTTAGTGTTAGTGATTAAGAGCATGCACTCTGCAGTCAGACCGCCTGGGTTCAAATCCCAGCCCTGCCATTTACTAACTGTGTGACTCAGG